CACACACACACACACACTTAAGGCCTTACATATCATAAACATACAAAATTCATAACTGCTACGTAGACTTCCTTGTCTGACACAGGCTAATGGATTTTCCAGTTTGCTGGTCCGAAACATCCCTTCACCAGTGTAAAATATTGCTACTGGTCTCCGGGTCCGTATTAGTGCAGTAAATTTAGCTTGCGGCTGGAAGTTATGACAAATAATTTTACGAACCATAGCGCTATATTTAGGAATCCAGTTTGCTGTCCTCTGAGACTCTCTTTGGCTGCGTGCATTTTCATGTGAGAGATGATCATGCCAAGAGATATATGGCTATAAATCAATACAGCCAGATGCTGCTCTTTAATCTTATAAGACCATTAGCTGATAAAGTGGCTCCTCAAGGAATAATGTAATTCTTTAAAAGCCTTCACAGAGTAATGAGAAGGGTCTTGCTGGATTAGAGATGGGTGGGAGTGTATGTATATACAGTACGTTTTACTGTAGGTGTATGTGTACTGTACTTTAGTCTAAGAATGCGTGTATCTGTATGTGGACGTCATGTACCCACTTACATTGATGTCTATATGTGAGCGCAACAGAGGCTGTACCCAATCCAGCGTGAGTAGTATTGAGGTCAGGGATTGGGTGTGTGTAGAGGGGGGCCCCTCTTTTTGGCAGGCAGATCAGTGCAGTGGATGCTACGTGCCACTCGTGCTACAATGAACCAGGCTTTTCCTCCCAGACACACAGAACAAGTGATTGACGATCAGTTTTGGGATTTCCTCTATAAAAAGATGCCGTTGTGTGGTTCAATACACATGTTTTGAAAAGAGACAAAGACGTGACACGCTGTGAATGAATATCACGACCCAGACGACAAGGTCACGAGTCTCCTCCCACATGCCCACACACAAATGCTATTGGAGGTGTGTGTGTGCGTGTGTGTGTGTGTGTGTGTGTATGTGTGTATACCTTCACAGCAGCACTCGCAGTGTTGTCCCCGTGTGTGTAATATCCCATGTTCCGTGCAAGTACAACCTCTACAACATTTTCATCACTTGCATTTTGAGTTATGACTGGCTGTAGGCTCAGGATATTAAATGTGGTAGTGACTGAGTGAGTTTGCCCTCAGATTCAGTTTTCTAACGAGCGGATAAGTCAATTATAGTAATGCAGTATTTAGCATTTATTAAACCTTTTTAATCCTGGAAGGCTCAAACA